TGCGATTACATTACCCTGCGCATTTCTGAGAAACACCGGAACAAAAAAAGTTGCCTTCACTAAGCTGAATTTCAAACGATTCCCTGGAATTAGGGAACTCAGAGGACAGAGGCCTGTGTGAGTCTCGCGCTTGTCACACAGCTCCGTGTTTATGGCAAGCCATTTCAACATTTACATAAAGGCTAAACCAAGGGTTCTCGGTATTAATGGGTCATTCCTTCATTTTGAGTGAATCTTTAATCTGTCACAAGTGAGGAGTCCTCTAAGAGAGGGATTCATTCATTTACGCATGCGCATATTGTGCAAGTTGGGTAGTGTTCCTTTTTCGAGTCTTCTATTGGGTTTGAGTCATTTGTTCATCATATGAAAGACATAAGACAATCATATGCAGTCAGAGCCAAAAAAAGATTTGATCCGTTAATCTCCGACGTCCTCAGGTTTGAGTTGTTCGAGCATCATGTGAAAGATATAAGCCAATCAAACAGTATGGTTGGGTATGAGTGATTCGTCTCTTACATGAAGTAAAATGATGTACGAACAACTCAAAACCCAAAGACTCCAAAGGTGAACTAATTATGGGTTCTTCCGGCTCAGACCTCCCATTGACATTAGACTAATTTATACTTCTGTATCGAGTGATTGCTGTGACTCGTGGTGCAAGCCTTGCGCGTAGTCGTGCATTCTTATTTCTGCATGCTGTTTGTGTTACTCTGCAATAGCACTTCTGAAACGCTAGCTGGCAGGTTTTATGTTCCTCTGTGTCGAATTTCTTTATGGGTGATTTATTTCCTGAACGCTACCTTAATGTACAAGTAGCTAAAACTCACTCATTCAGAGACAGGAACCGGCGAACATGAAACCCCTTTAATAATAAGGTAATCACAAAACAAATGTTTCCATCTGCTCCTTCAAGGGACTCAACACTTGTAAACACTCACTCCATTGGGCTCATGGTTTTCAACACTCTCTACACTCGTCACTGCAATCCAACTAATCACAGAGCTTGCACTAAGCTTCATTGTGACGAGTAGGTAAATATTTTGAGAACTGTGCATCAGCGTCGACATTAGCCACACCGAGGGCTATGTGACTGCGCAAAGGCTGCACCGGACCGTGCGCTTACCGCAGAAGTATAAATCAGCCTATAGGGGTTAAAAATGACCCAGACATAATTTTATTAGCATAACAAAAACCCAAAACAATGGGTTTTTATTTACTGCTTTTTTTAGAGGTTTAGTGAAGGCGGGACATTTTTTATCTGAATGGCCATGTACAGAAGTCTAGTACAACAGGAGGGTTAAGCTTACAGTATATGGGACTGATGTGTCACGTGAATGATCGACTCAACTTGTCGGAACGCCCATCATGGAGCATTTAAAAAATATATATTTTTTAAAATTTTAACTGAAAGAGTGGGGGTTTATGGCTCTTTAACATTAAGCACTTTGGTCAAGGATCAATATATGAAATGAGAATTGAGTTTTACATAATAAAAGCAGGGCTTAATTCGTGCCCTCCTTCTCTGTCCGCTGTCCACTTTCACTTTCTTATGCGACTCCTCAACACTCCTCACTTTCGTCCGCGACACCCCTCCACCATTCAACACCCCGCCATCCTGCTCTTCACTTTCGTCCGCGACAATACACCCCCAGCTGTCCACTTTTGTACGCGACACCTCTACATCTCGGGTAACATGCCAGATTCGTTACACTGATCTGTTCCGGGACCTTGAAATTCACAAATTAAGCACTGAAAGAAGAGTGTCTATTTCATTCATATATGAAAATGTAGATTTTTAAAAGGAGGCACTGCGTAAAACATTTACTGGTTAAGTTGGCGGTTTATTCCGCTATGGTGAACCCAGAAAAGGGGACTAAGCCAAAAAGAAAATGAATGAATGAATGAATGAATGAATGAATGAATGAATGAATGAATGAATGAATGAATGAATGAATGAATGAATGAATGAATGGCTTGCCATATCATGTTTCTGCATGTTTGGAAAAAGTTATGAGAACTAGTGTAGGCTGGTGTACGGATGATCCTCAGCAGCAAGATGATGCACATTCATAAACGTTCAGTTATCAGCTTACAGAGGCTAAACAAGTTCCATGATTCATAAACATGACATTATTGGATCACCTCAGGGACAATGAGACTGTTGATAGTCATTTATATTTAACTAAGTAAGTCAATTATACATCAGTGTAAACTTTCACGCTCAGATTCTAGGAAAGTCTCATATCGCAGCACTTTTGGTAGACAAAGCAGAAAACAAACGCGTGACACAAGCAAACCCGTTTGGAAGAAGCGCACAATGTTTACGAGTGATGCCATATGCGATCACGCGCACACACAAACACTCTCTGATTAATAAGTGAGAGATTAGGAAATGACCTGTGTCATATTACAAACACCCGATCGCCAAATATTGATTACTCTCTGAGTAAACAGCACTGGATAAAAACAGCAAGTGGCAGATGGAGAGGAAAAACAATGAAGTGCAGAGTAGATGTAGCATATTGAAAACAACATTTCAGCAAACAGTAACGCCATATTTGAGGTTAATAGAGACTTATTTGAATGTTTTTATTAGTCAAACGTAAATATCTGTGTTGTGCTTTTAACCACATTTCTAGCTGCTTTAACATTGAAATGTTAGATTACACGTCTTTGAAGGTGTCCTTATTTTAGTGTCACTTTTTTGAATAATTACTGAGTAATATCAATTAACTACCATATGGTTAGGCTTAGAATGCAGGTTAGGTTAGTGATATTTACAAGTAATTATGCATAATTAATTGTATGTACAATAATCATGTAACAAGGACACCTTAAAGTAAAATGTTACCAAATTTTGGCATCAAAGCCGTTTTGTGCATACAATAATAAAAAAATGCTATCTTTTAGAAATGTTTGTATCCATTTTCAAACACCAAAATCACAGCGTTTTAATCTCATAAGAGTTAGGAAATCATTTGGTGATGTTAAATCCCCCAAAAATATATGTTTTTCTGACCAATTTCATATATATATATATATATATATATATATGTGCTTATCTCCTTTTTACATTGAGCTAAGGGTAAAAACATATTTCCTTTCATTAAAAAATCAAAGCATCGTTTTCCACGTGGATGTTTCAAATTGTTATTACTGGGTGGAAGCAGTGGGCAGATCTGTCTCTGAAGGAGAAATAAAAACATACGACCCCACTGAGAACGTCACATCATGGATCAGCAAACAGCTGGTAAATAGTTTCAAACAAAGATTGCATAAAGTGTCTTAACTCATCTTACATCATCAAGGACAGATGTTATCTGGGACAGGAAACAGTGTTTACCAAAACATTATAAAACTGTGTTTTTCTCCATGAAGAACAACCACAGCAGAATTTACTCTTAATTTATTTTTAAGAAGCAAGGCAACATTTGCATGTAATCATATGGTGAAAAACATAATAACACATTTATTTTTATGTAGTGCCACATCAAATAAAACTGGATAAACATTAGAAAGCATTTGTTTGAATTTAGAACTGGCTCATTTTTTGGTAAATAATTGACGTTTGTGGTATTTGGTTATTTAACATCTCTTATTACATTGTTTATTCTGGTTGCACACAACTGGCATACAGCATGACCAGTGTAGTCCAGCTCACAAACAAATGAATCATATTTGTTTTGTGTGTGTGACTGTATGTTTGTTTGAGACTTAAATCAGTTTAATCAGTTCATATCTGCTGCTCATATGACAACTTGTTAAATAGTTGATCTAAGTTAAAAACACACACAAATACAAATAAAAAAAAATATATATATATATCTCAAATACACTTAAGGTGAATTATGCAGAGTTTAAAATTTTATATCTATAAGCATGTGTTTCCTTATGTATTATGAGTATATGTTTATACAAGCTTTATAAAATAAATGAATATATAAACTAAACATATACGCTGTGAATATATTAAATATATCATAATAAAAGTATTAATCTATTCAAATATAAAACATATTGATTAAATTATTTATTTATAAAGTTGTAATATTAGGTCAAAAGGGTTCTGCTTAATTCTGTCTTATAAAACAGTTTTTTTGTGTCTATGTACAGTACATAAATATATACAGTATTTTTATATATATTGTTATTTTTAAAATATATTTTATATATAACTTAATAAGAAAATTTAATAATATAAAAAATTAACTATTATTTTAAACCATATATGGAATACTTGTTCTGAAAAGTTCTGCTTGTTTTTAATATTAAACAAATGCACACACAATATTAGCAATAAAAAAATAAATAAAATGTTAATGTAGTTATAAATATTGTAGCGAGCAATTATATGCCACGTCGCCCTGGTCGCTAATTTCACCCAGCTGGACCTTCATCAAGCCAGGATCGCACACAGCTGGAGGACATCAAGCGGAGAGACATATAAGCCCAACCTACACCAGGAGAAGATGAGCTTCATTCATTCTATGACTCCCTGTGCTAATGCTTGTCTCTCTGTCTCTCCTTAGCGGACTCCAGCTCGTGACGATCCTTCACCCGACTACTCACTGTCCTTCACCTACTTCCCGGAGCACCAGAGCACCTCACCCTAAAGAAGAGCACCTTTTACAACACCTTCACTTTGTAAATAAAGCACCCTCCGGGGACTTGTCTGTAAACTCATCCTGTTGTGCCGCTGTTTTCCCTCTGCCTCGCTACAATATTTAATATTTATTATAAAAATGTCATTATTAATAACAATAACTATTTAAGAAACAATTGAAAAATTTTACTTTTTTAATTCATGAATTTATTTTTTTTCAACTGATTTACATTTTGTTTAAAATTTAGGTTGGAATAAATACACTACACCTATATATGATGTTTACAGGGACCCTTCCTGCCATTATTCACATCTGTGTCCTCATAAATCATATTGAAGAGAAATTACGCTCGGGTTTAACATTTCTTAATAATAAAATGGTAATAAAATGACAATATTTTGGAAGCCTATTTGAAAAAGCCTTTATTATAATTTAAATAAAAAAAACATGTGCATTAAGCACTATAACATGATCAATTTCATATGCACTCAAATATTAAAGTCTTCCTTAATGTTATATGATATGTTTTTAACAGTGGTATTGTGTAGTTGAAAACATGCCTCATGGTGTCACTTAAACACCTGTTGGAGCACAGATGGCGGGACATCTGCAGCCTGCAGGCTCTGGATCAGCCGCTGCACCGTGGCCCCTCTTCCGTTCCTCTGCGTCCACATCACCAGCCCAGCGAGCACCTGACTCTGAACAGCAAGCGGGTGGTCAGAGCAGCACCGGTACAGATCCGCACAGGACAGGCCCAGATCCAGCAGCACAGACTTCCACTCTGAGCCCAGACGGGATGCCAGCTGATTCAGATGCAGGGTGGTTGGTACGGTCAGAAGGATGTGGTCAGGAACACCACACTGAACTGAAAACAAGGACACAACGTGTAATTTTAAAAATACGGTAAGTCAGATTGTGTTGTAAGCTGTGAAGCACAGCTACAACAAAACGCCAAATACTGTAATGATTTAACTGCAAGTAGGCGCATCCCAATTTGTGAACCATTGTATGCTATTTTTAGTTTACTAGTGCAAGTATGATGCACTTATTTAATAATAATAATTCATTTTTTCATCAGCTTAGTCTCTTTATTCATCAGGGTTTGCAACAACAGAATGAACCGCCAACATATCCAGCATATGTTTCACAGAGCGGATGCCCTTACAGCTGCAACCTAGTACTGGGAAACATCCATACACTCTCATTCACACTCATACAATACAGCCAATTTAGTTTATTTAGTTCACCTACATAGCACATGTCTTTGGACTGTGCTGAAAACCGGAGCACCAAGAGGACCCACGCGAACAAGGGGAGAATAGGCAAACTCCATACACAGTAATGTCAACTGACCCAGCCGGGACTTGAATCAGTAACCTTCTTGCTCTGAGGTGACAGTGCTATCCACTGAGCCACTGTGTCGCCAATAATAACAATAATTACTAATAAAGTCTGAACACTTCATTATCTCAGCTTTGAAGAAATATTTTCTCACAAAAATTACAATTTAGTAATCTTTCATACTGAGTTAATACCAATTGTGAAGCACTGCATCACTTGCTCTAGTTTACTCACAGGATGTTTTTTAACTTAAGCATATTTTCCACTTGAGCAGAATTATTTAAGCTTTCGCAGAAGACACAACTGAGGCGAAACCATGCATTTGCAGTAAACACATCATGCATTTCACACCATCAATGCACTAGTTTGCATTGACATTCATTCATTCATTCATTCATTTTCAGCTTAGTCCCTTTATTAATTCAAGGTCGCCACAGCAGAGTGAACTGCCACCCTATCCAATAAGTTTTTACGCAGCGGATGCCCTTCCAGCTGCAACCCATCTCTGGAAAAGTTTGCATTGACATTAAAAGTAATTATTTGCCTGAATACTTGATTTAGGCTTAATTTTAATTTTGAAAATTTATTTTGGTGTGAACCAAGCATAATTCCCCATTTGCACTATATACTGTTTGCACTATAGACCATTTTGAGGAATGTAAACAATAACAATGGTTCTGACGTTTTTCCTGTTTTACATTGTAAATATCCATAGCTTCTGAGGGTCCAAAAAGTTCTACATATTGATAAATAATGTCACGATAACTGTTATAACATCTAACTCTGATTAAATCGCCTCTTGTTACAGATGTGAAATAGTTTGACAACCGAAATGACAATGACATCATCACATTGAAATGGTCTATATACTGTTCTACATTATACTGTATTTTTTGCACTATACTGTTTTACATCTGCACAACTCCTTGCCATATGCCCTTAAGTATAATTGTATTGTTTACAATTTTTTTTTACTTATATTTTTACATTAAATTATATGTATATTTGTAATTATTTGAATTTCTTTTTAAAATTCTACTTTTTGTAATACTATTATATGTTAGGCACCTAGGGTCTGAGAGTAACACAATTTCGATTCTCTGTATGTCCTGTACATGTGGTTGAATAGACAATAAAACTGATTTTGACTTGATTGTTTCATCTCAAAGTTTCTTTCTTCAGCAGAACACTATAGCAGATTTGCTTTCACAATGCTAAAAACCAATAGCTATTGGCTCCGTTCTTTATTATTCTATAAAACATCTTTTTTTACGATCAACAGAAAACCCACAAAGAATTGAAACCATTCCAGGGTAAGTTCTTTTAAATTTTTTGGGCTGAACTAATAATCTAACATAATTTACATGATCTATCCCCAATTACGTACTGAAGTGTGCGGCTTTCAGACTCTAGTGTTGAATGACAAAATAACTGCATAAGGTACAAGACGCTTCATGTTGTGGTGAGATTACCACCTCAGGTGTGCATTCATTTGTAATAACTCAATGGCTTGACGCCAATGATTCTGCTTATACAGTTGCCACACCTAAAACTCAGTTCAGATGTTGTATTTAAGACATCTGTCAGGTTTTTGTCTTAAGTGTAGTACTAGAACTGTATCTTATATCTTTTATCCCAAGCCTTGTGTAATCTTTGATTTGATTTTTGACGTGTATGCTGTAAAATAAATAAAATCCTTCAGCATAGTGATATAGAACTGTAATGCTGCATGGAATTACTTTATCTGTGTGCTTATCTGAAAATAACTGCAGACTTTAGGGTCAATTTACACAGAATGCATTTTTCCATAATTTACTTTTCCATTGTTTTGTTTTTTTAAATGTGCTTGACAGTCTTTTGCATTGCTACTACTACAATTACAAAACTACAAAATGACTCTTACACAACAACTACATTATTTTGCTTGGTACTTACATATTTTGTCAGCATCATTTAAAAAAACTTTATTAAAACTTTGATTTGAAAAAGTAACTTTACAAAAAATTTGACATAACCAGTTTGACATGCACTGATGTCAATCCTATTTATAGACATGGTGGTATTTTATGCATAATGTAGATCCACTACATTAAGTTTTGGACCATATTTGTTTATATTCCTTACACTTCCATAAAAACAAGCAATAAGCACTGAAAGCAAAAGAATGTAAGAAAGTGAAGTATGTTTTATTCATGCATGCTTCCATGTGTTAATGCACTCAGCTTGAGGTGACAAGCCATGCATGCGTAATGGTGACCTCAGTAACATGAGGTTGAGGGGTGAAGGGACAGAAAAACAACATTTCTTATACAATATGAGCTTATTTATTCCTATAACTCCCCATGACCCTCAGAGGAGCAACTCAACTTGCTGAATAAAACATGATATTGACAATAATCCAGCGGCAATACATCTGTCCATCTATAAGAAGCATCAGTAAGCCAAAACCATTTACTGCACTGACTGTGTTTCATAGAAGCATACACGCAGAAGTCTGCTAAATAATACTGGAGATGTTTAACCCATCAAAAGATGGCAATATTTACATTCAGTTTTTTGTATTTTGACCCTACGCAATAAAGACACGTCATTGTTTTTGCGGGATGAGAATAGAGATGTGTTTTATTTGAGCAGCGGGGATGAATGGAGCAAAGGTCGCTTTGAGAGTTTGTTTTTGAGTGTTCCCGAATTCTTCACAAAATCAAGGACATCCATTGATTTCTGTCGTCAAGAGGCAATAGTAGCCACACCAGGCCAGGGGAATAACAACCCTCCCTATCTCTATGGCAGGACATCCACATTTTTAGTATCTTCTGAGTGAAATTTAACACTCATCTGATCAAATTTTCAAGATTTTTTCTAGAATTTGTTTTGTTTGTTTCTCAGAGACTATGCTATGCTGTTAGTGTTTGAGACTTACAATTGAATTGGCTTGAAATGAGGACTTGACAATTTAAATGTCGTGTATGATAAAGACTTGAATGAATACTGTTTGTATGAATGTGCAACAAGTCAAGTGGATATACAGTGCACTTTTTCAGCAGTACCAGTTTCCACATTTATATTTTAGGATTTTTAAAGACGTGTAAAATACGGAGGATGATTAGGGCCTTAAAGCAATAAGAATAATACTAAAACATCTCCATATGAAAGTCATAATAGTCCAAGAACAAAAAGGCTCTATCATACACCCAGCGCAATAAGGAGCAAGATGTGTTTGCCCCGATATGTTGCTATTTTCAGACCAGTGCATCTAATTTTCCCGTTTTCTGCCACATCGTTTAAATAGCAAATCCATTTGCGCCACTTTGTGGACCCACAGGGGTTTCGGTCTATAAAAGAGATGTGTTAAGGCGCATTGTTTGTGCGTTGCTATTTTTAGGAACTTCCTTACTTTCTTTATCGCTGGGAGGCTTTTTTCAGTTTATTAATGACAATTTGTTTTTGAATAATGTTATTATTATCAGCAGTGTAATTTATTAGAGGTTCTGGAACATATGGAGAATAAGACGTGTGTTTGGATAATTTTTTGAGCACATTTCGTTATTATTGTTCATTTATTTGTAAACTGGAAATTAGAATTGAATTCAGAAATAGTTTTGAAACAAATCTTGTGCTTAACAAACAAAATGAATTATGTAGACTAATGGGAGTGTACAACACCATTTCCTTATCGATGAAAGAGAGAAAAAGAAAGTAAAGAGAGCCCTCTGGGGAGGCTCATTCTTTATCCCCACGCTACAGATGGATAAACTCATTAAATTTCAATAATAAATTCAATGTATTTTTTTAAACAAGAGTTTGACAAGTTAATTCTCAACATTTTATGGGTTTTTTTCTCGAATCACAATGGCTTTATTTTCAAAATTGAATGAGTTTATTCTCAACATTTCAATTCAGGCTTTTTTCAATTCAAGCTCTTGAAACAAGAAACTCATTCTCAACAATTGATTGAATATTTTTTCTTGAAATGTAAAAACTTTAATCTCACAATAATGACTTTAATAACAAGATATTTTTTTCATAATTGGTCCTAATCATCTTCCTTAATTAAGTATTTAGAGCCAAAGCCAATCAGCTACAAAGCTAAATCACAGAATTACAAAATTTGATTGTTGAATGAAAATTTGGTTTGTAGCAGAACTTCACCACACAACTTTGGTTAAACCATTACAAGTCACTTTACAGTTAGGGCTATTATCAGAATACATTTATTGTCCAACAATAAATATTTTATAATGAAATGTATATTTGTACACTTCACTAAGTTCTAAAAGTTTACTGGAAGGCTCATCCACACCTGAAAGCAAATGGTTGTATTTTAACAACTTTCTTATGTCTATAGATTCGGAATAGTCAGTTTAGGCTACCTGTGAAGTTACACGCACTGAGGAAACTTTAAAACTATACGTGTTAGCTACTTACGACTTAAGCTGTACACTTTACAGCATCTCATTCTGTGTCATTTGCTATTGTTCAAATGCACTCACATACACATTTTTGTATATGGCATTGTATATAAAC